GACTGTATTCCTGGTATGGTATAACCAAGAATAAAAGGGTACACTAGAAACCATAGAACAGCCAAGGCTGATATCCTTTTGATCTGCATGTATTGAGAAGGCTTCCAATGCATGCATTGATTCTTTGCTCTTTATAGATATGTAATGCTAAATGTAAATGTGATGCTATGTAAATAATATCATCATATTGATTCGCTATAAGCTTCTTTAATTTGTATTTTAACTTTAGTTGGTATATTGCTTGCGTCTGTTATAAAACTCAAATAATACTTATCGTAACATCTAGGACAACATCAAATTCAATTATGATACATTTACTGCTTAACAAACTGTAACAGAGCCCAATTGGCTGCAATTGGTTTCCCATTTTGCAATTCCCTTTGATTTGTCTAACGCACAAATGCAAACGCAATGTGGACCCAATGGCTCCATTGTCAGACAGACAGACGGACGGACGGACGTAGAGACTGTGAGACAAACTGTCAGGCAGTTAGGCTGGCTGTTTTGTGGGTCAGTTTAGGTTCCCATATGGAAACATAAAGCCAAGCAAAATACCTTTAGGTATTCCCCAATGAACAGCTGCCAGATGCTGACTTATGAAAATTGAGCTGGTAAAAGCCTGAGCAAATCTCGTGCATTACATAACTGAGTCAATGACTATGCGACTAACTGACTTGCAAACACCAGCAGCAGCAATAGCATATATGTACATATACACATGCAAAAACACACACACAGACACACATGCGTTGGCCATAAAAAATGATGCTTACCTCGACTTTAATGACTGTGTGGCTGTAGCTCTCTGTGGCTCTAACTGCAGCAGCCAAACTAATCAGCACTGCGTGTGTGTGTAGGTGTGTATGTGTGTGTGTCTGTGTTGTGTTGTATTTTGTTGTGTGTGTTTAGCCAAGCACAGACAATGACAATGTGCTCGGGCTGTCTCTCTGTCTGTCTCTCTGTCTGACTGACTGACTCACTGACTTACTGGCCAAGCGTGCGGCTGTGGATGCTGCGTCTGCAAGGACCTTTTTGTTATCATGCTCACTTTTTATACTTTCACTTAATAGTTGTGTGTTGTTTGTTTGTGTGCGTGTGTGCATCATTACGAGCCGTGGCAACGGCTGGCATCCTTTTTATACATACATACATATATAGATGTATGTAGGTATTCGTATGTGCGCCTACAGGCTTGCACGCTTATTTACACACACAGATACACACACACACACAAAGTCGTAATTTTACGTTTACGACACGAAACTAGGTTACTTTTTCATGTGCGCGTGAGTGAGTGCAACAGCAGCAACAACAACAACAACAATAACAACATTGGCAACAATTGTTTGGCTGCTGTTGCTGCTGGTGACATTGCCCGCTCAGTTGGCTTCACGTCCTTGTCAAAATGTCCTGCGAAAAGCCCACGCGACCAAGTCAAATACCAACAACAACAACAACAATAACGACCACAACTAGTAGCAGCCCCTATCAGCCACGCCCACAAAACGCATCAAACAAATAAATTGACAGTCACACAGTAGAATAACTCTGACGGGGCAATGTCAAAGATATATGTCTGTCTCTGTCGCACTCCCTCTCTCTCTCTATCGTGCTCTCTCTCTCTCTCTGCTGCTGCCTTCATTTTTATACACAAATAATGGCCATCAAAATTAATGAAAACGTAATCAGAGCGAATGACTAAAGAGGAAAACGAAAAGCATAAAAGCAAAGAAGAAGCAGCTGAAAGATGAATTTTGTAATACACTAGAGAAAATTGATATGAAAATTAATATATATATATAAAATATATGACAGTAAATTAGTGAGCTAAGTCAGCCCAGTATCGTTATTTTTATATCAAAATAATGTCAATCAAATTCTATATAGCCCCAATCAAGTAAAGTTCCATGAGACTAGCTAATTCAAAGCTCACGATTACACGCCAACTATGCAAAGAAAATCGCTTTTAGTTTAAGTGTGCTTAGGTCCCGCTAAATGAGGTTAAGTTGAAAGATGCGATAAACAACGTTGCCTTAGCAGCATTGCTAATTGCTTGAGTGGGGTTAGCTTAGTCTGGCTGAACTCGGCTTGAGAGCATCGAGAAATTGCTCTTAAGAAACTGATTTTACAAACAAAGTGAGGTTAAGTTACGGCAAGCGAAGAACTTTGAGAACTTTTGTGGAGTTAGCTAAACAGCACTGAAAACAAATCATCTTTTAGGTTATGTTCGACTAGCTAAGGTTAGGTTCAAAATTGCAATTTTCTCAGAACTTAGATTTGACTTCTTGAGCTTAAGTTAGAAGTGTCAATAAGCTTGGCTACTGAAGCAACTGTTCTCAAAGGATTTAGGACATATATTATAGGTAGGTATAATTTAATAAAAATCAGAACTCATTAAGTTAAGATGAAAGCATTTCAAAACATAAAATGACACGAAAGAGGCTCACAGAACTCTTCATTGATATTTAGTTCACATATCATATATTAAATTTAGCAATAAGAAAAAATATTGCAAAAATAATACAAATTAATGAAATGAATATTTAATAAGTGCAAACAAAAATCCTGTTTTTTAATTTTTATTCAAACAATAAATATCAACTGTTTAAGCGCTACAAAAACCTCATTTACACGCAATTAAAATTGTTTGCAATTATGGCAAATATAATAAGTAATTATAATTAGCATTATCATTATAATGATGATTATCAGTGCAATCACTCGCATTGACCCAAACTCGGACTTTTCAGTCGATGGCGTCAAATGTCGAGTAGGAAATGTGTGCAGAAAATTAAAATTTCCATTTCAATTGGCCGAGAGAGAGAGAGAGAGAGAGAGAGAGAGAGAGAGAGATAGCAACAGACATAAATAAACGAAAAATAATAACAATAATAAATATGTTTTATTAAAGCTCTCGCCCCAATGGAAATGTTCAGATGGTGCGAAATTTATGTAAATTGATGCGAAAATTCATGTTTTCATAGTATTTATATGTAAATAAATTTGCATATTAAAAAAATAAATAAAATATGATATAGATGAAAGCAGATTAAAATTAATAAAATCAACATTAATAAAACTTATAAATATTAATATATATATATATATATATATATATATATATACCGTGAGGAAGAAGAAGAAGAAGCAGTTAGAAAAAAATAGATAAGGCCTTGATATAGTTAAAGAAAGAGAAGAAGATGTAGAAAATGTAATCAAGAAAGTTAATTTGACTTTATGAAGTCATAGAAAGGCCTGCAGCTATTGCGTACATACGGTGTTAAATGGAAATAAAGGAAAGCAAGTTATGAGACCCACAAGAGCTCACAACTTTTCGCCCTCACTACTTTTTACTAATTTATTCTCTTATAAGTGGGTGCCAAACATTTTGCAAGCCCCGATTCCTCTTCACAATAGAAATTGAAAGAATATTTCCAATTAATTATGCTGTCAAGTATTCTATTTTCAATTTGAATAACTTAATGACCCTTTCGTTTCGGGCAAAATAACTTTGAATCGCAGCAGAGAGCCCAGCCCAAAAAAAAAAAAAAAAAATTGAGGGGGGAAACCACACAGCTACCTCAGCAATTTCAACTGAACTGAACTCAGCCCATTCCAGTCGCTCACTGATTCTTCTTAAATTTTCATCAGCCTGCCCAGCAGCCACCCACGGGGCGGCAGGAAACTAATTAGTTACATTGTAGTTACATGGTCTTCGGTCTTCATCCGTCATGTGACTGCACAGCAGGCAGCTCCAGGGAGGAGCCATTGCCATGGCCCGAGTCAAAGCCAGAGCCAGAGCGAGCCACAGGCTGTGCTGTTGCTTTCAACGCCGCATTTATAATTAAACAACATGAAAGACACAAAGAAGCAACTCACACACACACACACGCACACCTGGTCACACACACGCACACACACGCACACACAGAGACAAAGTGAGTCTCTGAAAGTTACACGACGGCATTTATGAGCGCCCATAATGGCTGTTAACAATTTAACTTGTTTACCAGTGGGAAAGTTCTATGTTAATTGGTCTCAAATAGCCTCTCACACACACACACAAGCACACACGCACACTCACACATATGTGAACTGTGCGCCCCATTGTACTCGGCAGCTGTGGCAGCACTTGCCAAGTGAATAATGGCAGCCAACCAGCCGCAGCGTCACCTGTGCCTGACCCCCGGCTCCCTCTGCGCCTCTGTCATCATTAACACGTTGCGCCTACGCCTGCGTGCAACAGGACAAGGATTACGACCACAGACCACGTGATCCCTTGCAAACTCGTGTTTGAGTTCTGTTTGAGCTCGCTCCTACCCTCCCCTCTCCCCTCTCCCCTCTCCGCCTCGACCGCCTTCACATTCGAGTCCATTTGGCACAGCGACAAATGTATTTTTTTTTAAGTGCCGCATTCTCGTGGCGTGTGCACATATTAAATTTAATTTGTTATTTTAATACCCTGTAAGTGCTAGACAATTGAAAAGAGTTCTATTGAGTTGTTAGATTTAATAAAATTAATGGAGATGTTTTATAATGATGAATAATGAATTATAATTCCTATATATATATATATTGGATTGTAAATGCATTCTACTTGTGGCTCTTAAAGAATATTTAATTCCTTATGTAATTACTTTGTAATAGGAGATATGCTCCGAGCTGCTTTTGATTAACATTTTAATATGTGTAATTTAATATCTGTGAATTCCAATTATGGAAGCTGCTCATTACACATTCCTCAAATTCTGCGCTTCAATTGATACAATTCAAGTCGATTGGCCACACTGTGAAGTGAGCGTGCATGCAATGCGGTTAAATAAGCTTTAGGGGTAGCTAAAATTAATAGGGGGTGCTGACAATGGAAATAATGGGGTTTCAATTGGATTTAATATGTTATATCAATACCCTGTAAGTTGTGGGTATGTGAAAAGAGTTAAATGGATTTATAGCTAATAAATTGCATCTGATTAACTTACATATTCTTAACAGTTCATAGAGGATGAGTTAAGAGCTGCTCCTACTTTTATAACTAATACTTCTACTACTATTACTACTATAAATATAACGTTTACTAAAACTACTAAAACTAATACTACTACTTCTACTATTCCTTTAACTTCTACTTTTATTTCTCTTACTACTACTACAATAAATAAAACTTCTACTCCTGTTTCTGCTACTACTACTACTATAACTATAACTTCTACTCCTACTACTTCTATAACTATTACTTCATCAACTACTACTATAACTATTATTTCTACTACAACTATTACTATAATTACAACTTTTATTTCTACTACCACTATACCTTCTACTACTATTACTACTAAAACTATAACGTCTACTACTACTATAACTATAAATTCTACTACTAAAACTATAACTTGTACTACTATTTCTACTACTACTACTATAACTATAAATTCTACTACTTAAACTATAACTTTTACTACTACTATAACTATAATTTCTACTACTAAAACTATAACTTCTACTACTACTGTAACTATAACTTCAACTACTATTTCTACTATTACTACTACTATAACTATAACTTCTACTCCTACTTCTACTACTACTACTACTATAATTAAAGCTGTTACTCCTACTACTACTATAACTATAAATTCTACTACTACTACTACTATGACTATAACTTCTACTCCTATTTCTACTACTATAACTAATACTTCTACTACTATTAGCAATACTTTTACTACTACGACTGCTGCTTTGACTGCACTTAAAAAGAATATTATTCAATTTGAAATTCATTATATATTATTTGGCATATATCTTAACTTCGACTTCCGTTATACAATTAAGTTCAAATATATTCTCACTTTTATACTACTTAATCTCTCCCTTACTGGGTATATGCTTTGCCGACTCATTTACATTTCATTCATTTATTTTTTTGCTGCCTTTCTCGATAAACGAGTAACTAATTTTGCAATTAAATAAAAGCGTTCGTAAATTACTTGAATATTTGTTTGGCGTTTTTTCGTATAAGTGTGTGTGTGTGTACTACTGTACATGTATGCATGTATGCATGTGTGTGTGTATGTGTGTATGTGTGTCTGCCATTTAGGGCAAGTATTTTTTAATTACATTTTTCGGTACTCAGGCCCAGAGTTAAGCGTTACGTACTGCAGGCAGATGCACAGAGCACACAACGTGCCACAGTTGCAGCAAATTGTGTTGCAACATCAACACGAATCTTTGTCAAAAAAAAAGTCAACAACAACAGCAAACAAAGACAAAAGCAATATGCAGAACAAAGTTAAAAGCAAACACGAGGGGCGGGGCGACAGACACAAATAGAGCAAACTATCAAAAAACAAAACCAACCGACCAGACACCGGCCACGCCCACTGTCCCAGATGCCCCCCGTATGCTGCTGTGTATGATTGATTGGCAAACAAATTTTTGACACTCTTGACGCGCGACCACGCCCACATGCGCATGTCAATTTTGCTGTTTGCCGTTAATTAAAAGTGCTGTAAAATGCACAAAAGCAAAAGGGAATGGGAATGGGAAGGGGAATGGGAAACGCCAGCGGGGCTGGGTCAAAAAGCTTGTTTAACCAAATATGAAAAAGTTATCGATGAGCCGGAAACGGAACCGGAACCGGAAGCGGTCGACTAATGGCGTATAACGGATATCGCGAATAAACTGTTGAACTGTGCTTAAAGTAAATAGTCTGGATTGATGAAAGTTTATATCTAAGAATTCATCAACAGGCATTTACTTCAACTGCAGTTTAAACGAAATGCAACAGAAGCAGACAAACTGTGAAATGTGCCCAAAGAAACTTGTTCCATTAGATTATGCACTAGCATATGATTATATATGTCTCTAGATCTAGTTTATTTTTGCAACTATTTGACATATGCTTTAATCACTTTTCTCTATTCGCTTCGAGCAGTTCGCCAGGAGAACGAGCGCAGCATGCGTGAGAATCTGGAACGCACGCTCATGATGAAGAATATGACGGAGTTGAATCTGCAGCGACAGCAACAGTTGCTAATGCAGGCGCAGCAGCAACAACAGCACCAGCAGCAGCATCACAAGCCGCTGCAGCTTCCATAACAAACGCTTTTCAGCATTTCCTTAGGCAAGAGCAGTTGATGTGCAGCGACTGCTTACCAACACTGGCGTTGTTCAACACTGAAACTACCCACTCTCAACTCAACAAGTTATGCGCACAATACAAAAAAAAAGAAACAAATCTCTTTGTTAACTACAATTAGAGGAGACGAAGCGAAGCTACAGTGGATAAAAACAACTATTTAGCTCTTAAAAAAACACAACAAAAACGCAAAACAGAATATAATAATAAAATAATAAAAAACAATACGTGTATTTAGCAGATTGTTAGTCAAAGAAAACATAAAATTAATGAAAAGTGATCCAGTTAAAAAGTAAACAAATAAATAAAAAAAATGTTATTTATAAATACAAAAAGTTGGTTCGATTGCATTGTAAATGTATTTATTGTCATGTATGCTAAACAAAAATAAACACACACACACACACAACTGTAATTTTTACGTGTTACGATCTGTTATCAACGTCGCACCAAATGCCAAAGCGCAACTAGAAAAAAGTTTTCAATAGAACAAATTTTTTTTATATTTTAGTATTAATTTAGTTTTTAAATGATGCAAGGTAAATTGAGAGCTAAGCGAATGCTATGAATTCAGTTAGAATTACGTTTTATTTTTTATATAAGTTTATTACGGTATGCGAGCGTAGTCTGAAAGGTTTTTAGGCTCTAGTATATGAAGGGAAAAGTTTGAGAACTGATGAAATACCTGCATAAATAAAAGTTGTGTTACGCTGTTATAAGAAATTGTTATTAATTTAGTATTACAGACGAGGGCAGAATAAAAAAATAAAGTTAAGTCACGTTAACTTTAACTATATCAAAATTTAAATTTTTAAAAGTTTATTTATGAAATTATTAATTCATAAGCTAATTTATTTATTTCATTAATTTAATAAAAAATAAAAATAATAATATTTTTACAATTTTTTTTTTATAAAATTATAAAAATAAAAATATGATAAATATATTTTTAGTAATATTGTTATACTTTAAAATAAAAAATAATACTTTTATAATATTATTAGCTTAAATTTTTTATTTAATTATTTTTTGACATTTTGTATGTCTATTAATAATTTATATTCTTGCTAGTTTTACTTACATATTCATTGTTTATTTTGATTATTAAATAGTATTTTATTAATTGCAAAAATTTAAACAACCAATAAACATCATTTAAAGACGAAAGTCTTCTAATACACACACAATCAGCTGTTGTTTTTCTCGCTGTGTATAGGGCATATGTCTATATATAAACTAATGGTAAACAAAAGGTTTCGCTAGTTTAGTTAGTTTGTTCATTGGTTTCACTTCCAACCTAATTTACTTTATTAACTAACTTCAGCCAACAGCATAAACTCTACTTTCTGCCCTCCATAAAGAAACTTTTGCGTAGCGCTTTTGGCATAGATGGGAGTATCAAAAACGAAAACAAAAACAAAAACAGAAGCAGAAAAAACAAATCAGAAAAGAAAATAAAAGTAAAGTAAAATAAAAATAGTTGCTCGATAGTTATGTATATCTGAAGCAAAGTTGTTAACTGAAAGTATTTATAAGTAAACAAAAAATAAATACAAAATAAAAACCAAGCGTTAAGAGCAGCAACAAACAAGTTTTTTGCAAGTCTTAAGTAAAAAAGGAAGAGAAAGCTAACTAGGAAAAAATTGAAAACAATTTTCAACATAATAATAAAAAACTGAAAACGTAATAAGTATTAAAAAAAAAGAAGGAGAGCAACAAATTAAACTAGTTTTAAATACAATTTGATTTGCGTGTGCCAAAAGAAAGAGAAAGAGAGCTTGGTAGAAGAGAAGGCGCCTAAATAATTGTTGTATAGTCTAATAAATTAGTTACTACAGAAAAACAAAAAAAACAAAAATTCAAAAAACAAAAAGTTACTTAAGTGCAAAACGAGCTTGTTGTCAAATTAATTTTAAATTTAGCTTATAAAAATTAATAAGTTACAAATAAAAGAAAAAATAAAACTGTTTAATGCAAATGCAAAAGAAAAAGTATGTATGTATATGTGTATGTGCGTGAGGTAGACATATGTATATATGTATATACATTTATGTTATACAAATATATGTGTATATATACATCTACATTTATATAGATATACTATATATAGTTTGTTTTTACAGCCAGCTGTTGGCTATGTAAATTCTCTACAAACAGCCTCAATCGAGCGTATTAAATTTGTTGTTTTCTTTTTTTGTATATTTAAATACGAATGTCTGTATGTGTCTGTGTGTGTGTGCGTGTGCGTGTGTACTTAGCCATGCTGTTGCCAATTTCCATAAAATTTTGCTTTAAGCATATATACCATATATAGTAAAAATTGATATATATATGTATGTATATATATGCACATTCTATCGGTTTCAGCCGCAAAAAACAAGAAGCAGAATTTCAGGCGCATTCTAAGAAAATATTATAATTTTTTGCTCCAAACTTTCTGCCTCTTTTATTAAAACTAATAAAAATGAATTGAAACAAGGGAAAGCAAATTGTTGAAGAAATAAAAGAAAAAACAGCTCGAATTTTTGTGTAAGATTGTGCCTAATCGAAAGTGAGAAATATAACAAACTAATAAAAAAAAAAAAAAAAAAAAAAAAAAAAAAAAAAAAAAAAAAACGAAAATTAAATTAATTAATAATAAATACAATTAAATTAAATTGTGTTTAACTGGCGAAGGGAGCAGCTGCTAGAGCTGCTGCCAAATTATGAATTCAACTAAAAATCGATGTCAATAATGTTAACTGCTAGCGACTATTTAAAAGAAAACAAACAAAAGTTCATATATAGAAACAATTAAAACATAATAGTGAATGGAAAGCTTTAAATTTCAAAACAAATTCTGAATATCGAATAACTAAATTAGCAAAACAAAGTTTTTTTTAGTTAAATGCGAAGCGAAATAAGAGTAGTAGAGCCAATGGTTTAATGAATAAAGGCACAAAGACAGAGACAGACACGCACACACATCTACACACACACACACGCACACACAAAGAAAGCCCTTGCATCTGTCATATGTTCAAATTTGCATTCGTAAATCAATTTAACTGACGACAGAACAAGAACTAAAACCTACAAATTCTAAAGCAACTAATAAATATGCATACACACATACACACGTGCATACACACCCACACACACACACAGAAACCACATCTTTGCAAACAATAGAACAAAAAGCTTCAAGGCTTAACTACAAATCTGAATAAAACGAGAAAACGTTTTTGGAAAATGAAATGGAATTTCGCAACAACAAAAAAGTACTTTGTAATTGCATTTAACATAAGTAAATTGAAAATAATATATAAATCTATGTAAGAGCAAACAATTAATTACAATTTTTGCTAAACATAAACATAAAAGAAAAATTGCAAAACACTGCAAAAAAATAAAAATAAAAACATTTAGCTAAGCGTGTAAAAATCTAAGCTGAATTATTATACAAAACTAAAACAAAAAGTTTGCATTAAATGAAGGAAACTACTTAATAAGCATTAATACAAAACATTAAAGATTTGAGGCTACGAAATTTGTTAAAAGGAAAAATAACTAAAGTAATAATTAAAGGTGTAAAACGAAGTCTATTTAAGCAATTATTTACAAAGTACACTGAGAGAAAATGTAAATAGCGTAACAAACCAAATTTTAAGTGTAATTTAAAACAAAACAAAAAAAAAACTAAAGAGGAAAAATTAAAAACAATAATGAAAATGCGTAAGTGTAAATGGGAAAGTTTGCCACAAAATTAGTTGAATACATGCGCAGCCTATATGTATGTATATCTGATAAATAACAACAACAAATTTAATAACTAAATGTGTGCAAGAATTCAAACTTAATGGTTAATTGTTGCTCAAAATCAAAAACAAACAAATCAAACAAACAAAACCAAAATACCAAATCAAACATTTGAACGCATTCAGCGTTTTATTCATCAAACAATGTTGAATTCTGAACTAACAAAGCAGTCAAAATAATATTAAATTTAAATAATAAACAAACAAACAGCTAAATTGTGTCACCTGTTTAGTATATCAGTATTTGTAACTGAAACAAAAACAAAACAAACCAAAAAACTCTTGAAAATGCGACGAATCAACTTGAACAAACATGAAAAACAATGGAAAAATAAACGGAATTTTTAAATGGAAATACAATTTGTTTTCTCTTTGCTGGGATAGATGGGTATAAAATGAGCTGATTATTAATTTGCCTAAATTATATGTTCAATTCGGCCAAATTTGAAGCGGTTCAGTTTTAAAATTTCAAATTCAAATTGGGCGCCATATTTCGGTGCTGCCACATCAGTTAATATTTAACAGAGAACCAGCTGCTTAACAGTTTTGCTCCACATGGAACCAATTCAAAAATTCGTTAACTGCTTGCGCGCGTTTTCGATATTTGAACATCAGGTTTTATTACCAATCAAAACTGCAAAATTAGAGATGAGCAAAAATACTAATAACATGAACTGCAATCGAACTTTAACATAGTTATCAGTGCGTAGCGGCATCGAGCGCTGTTAACAACAGCTTGTCTGGATGACCATTATCACAACCACTCACAACACAGCAGATTGACAAGATAGCGTAAATGTTTGTTTAACATAAGAGAGAACCAGATGAGCAACGGTCACGGCCTTTTTTAGTTCACACAGGTTTAGTGTATCGTTCGTTCGATCGAACTTATTCGGAGCTATTCGGAACGAGTCGACACAACGCTAACAAATAGCCTGTTGCGCAGAAAATGGGGGAAACGCAACACAAATTAATTAGCAATTAACGTGCAGTAAATAAACTGCAATACGCGAGCTAAACAAAAGCATTCGGAAAACGTATAGGAAAAATTCAAACAAACTAAATAAACAAACACGATTCGAGCAACGA